TGGGCTGCTCCGAAAAGTGCGTAGCTCACAGCGGCTGTTAAATCTGAAGCCTTTACGTTTGTGGGCGCGAGTAGCGGCGGCAGCAAGTAGCAAATTGGGTGTGAGCGCTTTCGGTGTCGAGCTACCCGGATCCATGATCAAAGCTTTTGCTCGCTTCGTGGTGGGCATTGGCGGCGGTCCCGCAACCTGCTGCAGACGCGAATATTGCTCTTTGAAGGCAATAACATTGTTCCCCCTAGCTTCACATAGCTTGCAGGTCCTTTTTGAACCGACATGGATAAAGTACTTCAGTTATGCTGAAGGCTTGTGTCGAGTACGGCTGGCGCAATGCAAAAGTAGCCGCATGTGGGCTTGGGTATAAGTTGGACTTTTCCGACATTCGCTGAGTTCGCAGCCCCAGCTCGAGGCTAAAACAAGCGCGCCGTCTCTAGCAAACGTCTGTAAGTGCGCTATTGCGAACCTTTTCTTTGTGCCGCTGTCTTTCTTCTCGTGCTGTCTTCAGAAAACAAAAGCAAATTCTGATCAGGTGAGATGTGCAATTGCGGCTACCTTGAGGCTGCCTAAGTTTCAGGAGAGAAGGCCCAGACGGTTCCCCGTTGGGCTAAACCGCTCATTCATGAAGGGGGACGCAAATTAATCAGAGTGAAAATATGCCGGATGCCTTTAGACTCTGAAAGTCCTGCGTTTGTATTCCAACTATTATTTTTCCACTGAGTTTCGGAAGCGGACTAGAATGGGTCCCCTCGACTCCGCTGCGGCTTCCATTGGAGCCGCAAAGCCTTTCGTACGCACGAGCAGACTCGCCGTCGGGACTGCGCACACCTGCACACGGTGACGGTCTCGTTCGGAGGATCATTTGCTTGAAGCTTCTCAAATTGAAAAGGTACTACAACGGGGGGCCGCTTGCCGTAGAGATTTGCACGCTCAACAGCAGTATCAAAGTGCCACTCATTTTGGAACAGACGTTCCCCAGCTTTGGACGGCTTGTGTGAAGGAACTTGGAACAAATATCAAGCTGCACGCTGAGATGCTCAGAAGCATGTGCCTTCAAATCGTAATTTAGCCCTTCATAAGTTGTCGGCTGTGCTTAAATAGCTCCTTGCAAAGACTGAGAGTCAAAGCACCGTCTCTCAGTTCTTGTCAAGTTTTTTGCTCGGAGCCTGAGCCATCCATCTGCGCGACATGACGTGTGACTTGACGTGCATTGCAGCGGGCCACACGCGTCGACGCTTAGCAGCTTTTCTGAGATTCACATGTGTAACGTCGCGCTTCTGATCACAGCTCGGGAACGGCCTTGGAAGATTCTGTGCTTGTTGTTCCGGCCTTGAAGGTTCGTTGCTTACGTTCAAAAGGATCTAACTGCACGTCCTGAGCTCGAAGGTTCAATTGTGTCGATGCGCAAGATCCAGAGCCTGCCTCGTGCGAGCTGACTCTGTCCGCGTCTTCCAATTGGTCCTCATTATGCACGGGTTCTGAAGATCTGGACCCGTGGCCTGCTCCAGAAGGGCGTAGCTCAGTCCGAAGCGGCTATTCGATCTGAAGCCCCTCACGTGCTTACGTTTGTAGGCGCGAATAGTGGTGGCACCAAGTAGCAAACTGGGTTTGAGCGCTTGTGATGTCGAGCTATCGAGATCCATGCTCAAAGCAATACTTTTTCAAGGCGGGCATTGGCGGCGGTCCCGCAATCTGCAGAACGCAAAGGTTGCTCTTTGAGCGCCGTGATGTGCTCGCTTTGGTTTCAAGTAGCCAGGTCTCTTTAATCCAAAGCGCCCCGGTGAAAGGACGGTCTGCTCTGCTGAAGGCTTGTGATTCCGGTTGGCTCCTGATTACACTGTGCTTGCACTGGTTTCATCTGACTGATGGACCTCTTCAAGCGTTGTCTAGTACCGTTTTGTGCGAAATTTTCTGCCCCAAAAGTGAGTCCTACCGTGGATCGCCCTCAGTCTGTATCCGAGACGTCCTCTGCAATTCGTTACTGGGCGGCCTCGTCACGAAACAGCCCAATCGCGTTTCAGGCCCTTCTGCAATCAAAGACGTACTGAGATTGCCCTTTTCGAGCAGCCAAGCCTTGCAAAGTACAATTTCTGCCAATTTGGCCTTGGACGTAGTATGGTCTTAATCATGTCTGGCAAAGAATGTGGTACTACTTGTGGCCTTGCATGATTGACTCGCCAATGAATGTTGCAATGACGACAGCTGATACTAACTATACTAGCTTGGTTCGGCGAATAGCCCCATCCCGGCCTAGATTGCGCTCGTGCCTCTAGCTTATATCGTATGTGCTAGCTCTGGTACCTATAGTGAGGGCCTACACTCTGCCGGCAACATTGGGAACATGTATTTCGAACATGTGTCCGACTTTCGTACACCGCCGTTGCCGCCATCAGCCCCCACCGTCCAGAATCTCTGGCTTGTTGGGTCCCTTATCAATCGGTGCTGGCTTTCCTGGTTTTTTACTTCTCAGACGGTTTCGCTGCAAAGTACGTCTGTGTGCCAACTCTTCATGATCGAGTGAGCCAGAAACAATGTTGCGCAAGCGGGTCGCGCATCGACCACCGCAAGGGCTGCCAAATGGGTTGCAAGCTTTCGCAGTCCGTTCTTCCATTGGCTTCGTAACGGCTGGGGGCTTCTAGAATCTATGCGTGGGGTCCCGACATGGAGTCCCACTGGCAGCTGATGACTTTCTTGAGATCGGAGCCCAAGCCTGAAGGTTTGATCGTGGTGCCCAAACAACAAGATTGACAAACAAATTCGTGATGTGTAGCGAAGTGTTTCGAGGATCTTTGGAAGGCTTCGCTCCTGCATGTGGTGCTGGAGAACGGCTATGAGCGACAGGATCAGGCTGGGCTGCTTTTGGTAAAGGTCAAAAGCCCATGGGCTGATAGCGAGACCGGATCGTAGACTCCTGCCATCAGTGGAATGTATTGTAGGAATTGATTTCGACACACGTTGTTTTGGAGCACGTACTGTTTGTCTTCACGCTTGCATGCGAATTTTGCGCGTTTCTTAATTTGCGGGGCCGCTTACACTCGTGGGCGTGGCTCAATTTTTATCACCTGACTGCACGGAGTTGAGGTTCCTGCATTACTTGACGTGGCAAAATAGCTTGTCGTCAACCTCACCAACTCGCGGGGATCACAGCAGAGACAGCTCCAGATTATCGACTATCGCACCTTTGCTTGGTTGCTTGAGCACGGCTCGGGAGGCCTCCTTTCCTTGACGTCTCGGGTATGAGCATTGATAGTTAAGAGGCTTTCCTTAACGTCTCGGCTATAAGCATTGATAGTTGAGAGGCCAATCTTTCAAACGACGGTGCCGTCCAGCATCTGTGAATTTAACTGAACTGTTCATTCGTTTACGAAGCCAATTGTCAATCCCGCTCCTAAGTTGGACCTTTAAAGCGAAGCGAGATTCAAGGCCCTCATTTTCAAGGTTCAAATACTCCTCACATGCACATCACGTGTGCCTTCGATTTTTTTCGTTGGATGGCCCGCTGGGATGCTTTTCGATCCGCGCCGTCGGATGTGTTCCAAGACCTTTATCCTCGTAGGTCGTTTAGAAAGTGAAACTCACACATGCAACTTTAGAATGATTAAGTCAGTCCCGGCTTCTAAATAGTCAACTCGAACCTCTGTGCCTGGACAAAAGATTGGAGAAAGGCGGACTCTGCAGATCTCTTTGCCGATGGCGGTAGGCAATCTCTTTCAGTCGTATGACTCCGATACGATAAAGAAGCTGGAGACCAGATGGCAACTGAGTTTCATTCCGTCAATGCTTCAGACAAGTGCTCGACATAGTCAAGAAGCACAGCAGATCTGAGCTGAGTGCCTCACCAAAACATTTTGCGCGGGCATGGGTTTCTCACTTTGTTGCATAGATGTTCCCACTGAGTGCCGTCCAGTGAAGCTGTGCTCCAGTAAACAAAGACATCGTGTGCTACACTGGTGCACTTGGGGGCAGTCCTGGTGCACTCTAAGTTAAGCGGCTATGATGGGAGAACTTTCAATTTCGGCCGTATTCGGTCACTCCGGGCTTTAGGAGGACTCGCGGAGCCGCATTCCACGCGCATCCCTCTGGCAACAGCTGACTTAATACATCGTTGGTACCGGAGTGGGAATCCTCAAGCACAATTATTATACAATAGGCCTCAAGGGAAGCTTCCCTTAAGAGCCCAAGCTCGAGCGTAGAGGGTAAAAATCAGGATACACCGTAACTTGCTGGAGTGACTCGAGAATTGGAGTGAGTTGCGCTAACTTTCTGAAGCTGTCACCTTGGTACAAACCGCTTTCGATTTGCATGTTGTTGGCGGCAGTAAGAAGGGGGCACGCTACCAGTGGGTGGTCGTGTTTTGTCAAAGCACAAGAGTTCAGGCACGTGTGGAAGCAGAAAGGCCGTTATTTCATCATCAATCGGGTGCGACGCCGATTATGAAGTGTTTGCATTGTTCACCAGTGACGGGAGCATGGTTGTCCGCGCAGGGTCTTGCGTTTTATCCACGCTTAAGGACTGTGCGACCGGGCGTGCTTCTAATATTGATTTTCCTGAATTGCCATGCGCTGCGATGTCCAAGCGACGGTCCCTTTTTGCTATCAAAATGTTTGGATATCTGCGGGCGTGAGCTTTTTCCACCGGACTTTACTGCGTTTGAAGCTGTGTCCATGATGACTTGACGTGGCGAGATGCAATTTCGTCAAGAACTGCTTCATTGGAAAGCATCAGTAAGGCAGAGGCGGCTAGCTCACCAATTATCGAGATTTAGCAAGGCTTGCTTTGGTCGATCAAGTACAATTGGGAGGTGTCGACTTTTTTGTCTCGATCGGCTTTGAGCATCGAGAGTTGTGAGGCGAGTTCCGCAGTCCAACTTGAAGGTCGCGGCGAGCTACAGATGCAGCTTGCCAGGTCGAGTACGCGCTTGGCCTTAAAGTTTTAAGTGTGAACCTGTGTGCCTCGACTAGAGATGGGAGTCCGTCGCCTGGAAGCGCCCAGCTGGCGGCCACTAATCAATTAATTACGAGAGTGGGCTCATCTTTGAACTTGCTCTCGACCACCGCCATCTCCGCAACCCGGTCGAAGGTCTTGATCAGGTAGCCCAGGCGCTTCGTCTGGTTGAGGATGCAGCTGAACACTCGGATCTGTAAAAAGGGGATCAGACCGCGTAAAAGTTCGAGAGTGCCTTCTTGTAAGGCGACTCTTTGTGTGTCTTTCGCTTGACCTGCCGTTTCGCTGGTTCCAGCTTGATGGTCTTACGCGAGATAGTAGGCTTCGGTATATATGGCATGTAATGCTTCGCCCCTGGGTCGAAATATAGATGGAATGCGTTCACTCGGCCCCTTGTGTTCGCGGTGTCGAACTCGCTCTCGCCCCCCGACTTTATGTGCACCACGATCTTAGCTTTGAGGAGCGCACTCAGAGCTATTAGTTCCGTGTTGCCTGCATATGTGGTGGTCCTACTCATGACTCGCTTATAAGAGGGCCCGTCCTTGATGTTCGCCTCTCCGTCTACGTTGTTGCTCGCGTATTCGTTGAGAATGAGCTCGCCGCCGGTCAGGTTGCCTCTTATCCCCCCTAGAGGAGTTCTCATATGTCCGATGACGTAATCTACGGCAGCCTGTCTGAGCTTCTTGGAATTCCGGATGATATACGTTCTGCTGAGCGTCGTCACGTCTACGCCCTTTGCCGCTAGAGATGCCAGGAGTATGCTGTGAAAGAGACAACTGCCGTCCCCAGGCACGTGCATCAGTTTGAAAGTGGGTGGAACTTTGGAGCTGGACTTCCGCACGGGACCCCCTCTCTGATGCGACGCGCACCTATCTGAAGATGGAATCTTTACGCAGGCTGCACGCCTCTTGCAGTGTGCATCTTTGCGAGTCTTGCCCGTGCAACGTTCGCACGCCATGCTTCCTGTATTAAGCTCATGGAAATTTTCGGGCACTCGCCTGTTGGCCTCTGTGAAGCAGATAGTCGATGGGTACGAAGGTGGCCTTGGACATCTCGATCTGGTCGAAAAGGAGGTTGAGCTTGTCCGACAGGCGGAGCGGCAGCGCCGTGTCCTGGACGCAGTACCTCGCGATCTCTGCGATTCCTTCCGGCGTCCCCTGCTCGAACAGTTCGAAGAGCCGGCGGATGGGCATGTCGTTCTTGTGCTCGTTCAGGGTGACGGAGGCCACGTTTTCCAGGCTGTAACTGTCTAGCTTGTGCGACCGCTTCACGGCCTGCATGAGATCCAGGTCCAGGATCCCCTGCATGCTGACGAGGAGGAACTTGTTGAAGCCGAACGCTGCGGACTCCAGCTGTTTCTCGCTCAGCGTGCTGGGGACTCCTTTCAACCTGCCGACGTTAACAGGGACGCCGGCCCGCCGCGCAGACTTGTACAGAAAGTTCCAATCAAAGCCGTAGCCGTTCCAAGAGTAGATGACGTCCGGAGACTCATTCATCAGGAGGCGCTGCCAGGCCATGATGACCTCTCCTTCGGAGTCGTAATTCTCCACCACGACCCCTTCGATCGGAGCGCAGTCTTTGAGCGTGATCACGTGCCTCAGGTAGGGTTCTTTCTGGCCGTACACCTTGAAGGTGCTGCCGATGGTGATGGTCCGAGCTCCTTCGAAGGAACCCTCCGGAAATGAGCCGTCTGTGGTGTAGGCCTCTATGTCGAAGCTGCACTCCACCAGAGGCGGGATCTCAGCCCCTTGTCCTGCCTCCGTACGCTTGGCTCGGATGGCCGTCTGAGGGATGAGGAACTCCAGGTCGCACGTGGACACCTGTCGAGCCTTGTCGACAGGTTTGCGTCCTCCGAGGTCGATGGTGTGCCAGCCGCATGGCAACGAGCCCGTCTCGTGAAAGAATTGGATGACTGGGGGCACGTTCGCTTCGTAGAGCGCGAATCGATGGGGGTCTCTCTTCAGCACCCACACGTTCAGTGGCTTCTTCTGTAGAGCGTACTGGCACTGCTTCAGCGCCTTGTCCGAGGTGACTTGGAGCTTGTAGAAGAGGAAATCCTTGTCTCCATGGTAGCCTGCACGAAAAACGCACTCCTTTCAGTAATGCAAAGAGCAGGAGGGTATCTTTGATGACAACCAGGTATCGGCACCAGCACGCTAGCTTTGCCACTTTGCTCATGCGACTTCAGGCCTAGCATAGAACTTCTTGCTTCGCAGAGAGGTGACTCTTGCGATTCCTCCGTACGCCCGCCCGTTGATCGACAGGTAGATTCTTTCTGCAGTGGCGGTGGACTCCGCATGGCCCCATCCTTCGGGAGCCTCCAGGTACAGTGCAGGGGCGAACGGTATGCGCAGGCACACGCTCTTGCCCTCCGCCGTCCGCCCGTACATGTAGATGAAGCACTGCTTAGCCGTGTCCTCCGCGTATGCAGCCCCGCCGTAATCATCAGGATGTTCGTCGTCTCGTTTCTTGTAAGATTGGATGAGGTCTATACAAGCTTTGAAGCGCTCGTGGTTGGCTGCTGCTTTGGTAGGGTCCATGTCTTCGTCTCGAGCATCGGTGGTGAGCATGAAAACCTCCATGGTCGAAATGATGGGAATCGACGGCTCCGATCTCCTGTTTATATACTGTGGTAAGATCGTCCGAAACTTTTGAACGCTTGAAGCTGCCCGTCTTAAATCGGACGGTAGCTAAACCTGCCCTCTGTCTTATTTCGGACGGGGGTCAGAAGTGCCCCTGTCGATTTTTCGGACAGGGATCCATGTGACCCTCGCGTAGTTTCGGACGGGTGGTGTATAAATAGGATCACAGTCTCGGCACTTTCCTAAATGGAAGACTCCAAAGATGGACCCCGACGCAGTAGCTTCTCTGCTAGACGTGCTGACTGCGCGCATCAGCGAACTCGAGGTTCAGACGAGGATTCTCTGCGAATTCCATACTCTCCAAGAGTGCCAGAAGCAGGGTTGCTTATTTCCTCAGCTCTTGGGGTCGAAAGCAAAGGCAGTCCGAAAGCACTATGCCGGGTCCACCAAGCAGCACGTCTTGGTGAGTTTCGATCATGGGGGCGTCGGGCTGGACCCCTGGGCGTTCGACCTCTATGTCAGGTTCCTGAATGGCGAGTTTTTGGAAGTGACTACGATGGCGGTCAGGAATATGATATTGGCGTTGGAGGCCATGACTTCCGACGCTGGTGATAGGCCGCATTGGTACGATGTGCATAGCGGCGAGTTCAGCCCGCACACCTACGTGAGGAACGAGATAGTGTCCAGGATCGTGACGTTTCCGTTCCCTGAAGTGGTCGCTTTCGATGGTCTGCTGAGGAAATTCGTGCTCAGCTTCGATGAGGCGACTGACGTACGAGAGATTTGCTTCATGATTGAGCACATCCTGGAGTTTCTGGGCGAGCGCGTCGAAGAAGATGCTCTGGATATTTTCGAAATCGCTCCGGAGGTGGCGCGCGTGGCAAACATGCTTCTTGCGGGCGATTTCGTGAGAGGGGAGGAAGAGGACCAAATCTGGGACGAGGTGGCGTTCCAGATGCGGTTCAGAAGCTCCTCGAGCCGCCGTAGGCTGAGGGAAGAGATAGAGAGTGTGTTGAAAGCAGACTGCGGGGTAGCCTCGCATTCGGGCGGACCCGACTGAAGAAGCTTCTTAGGGTAGTCGCCCAACAGGAATCATCGCAGAACTCTGTCCATAGCTGCTCTTAGGTCAGCCAACTCCAGCATATGAGCGTTCCCAGTACGTTGGATGGCCTGTTGCCTTGCACTTTGTATGACTTTAGTGAGATAACAAACGATGGAATCGTCCAGAGCCTTGTATTGAGCCTGGTTCAGCTTTTGACCGACCAATCCCTCCACCGCACGTTTCGAGATCTTTGCAGGCATCTATCGAGATATATATGTTTCATAGAATATTTGTGTGCCTAGGGCGGATGGCTCTGTCGCAAACTACTTTCAATAAGATCGTAAAGAGTTACGTCCCGCAGAATACGCACGTTGCGAATGGATTCTATCAGGTGCTCAGGAATCGCTTGGACGACCGCATATCGAGGACTTTGGAAGGAGCAAAGACCCTCGCTATCTATGCACATGAGGCAAAGAATGAGTCATTCACTCCTACCGACGCGTCTATGGTCGACTATCTGGCCGGAATCCAGACGCGCGAAGATCTACAACTGCGTCCCATGCACGATCCAGCCTACAACAACTTCTTCGATCGCATTCGTCGTCGGCGAGCGAAAGCCGTTCCCAAACAGGTCCCAGCCGAGGATGCCGGGATGAAGCTCGTACCGGACGTCGATTGGGGAGGTGGAGGTGGAGGTGGAGGTGGGGACTCCGACGGTTGGGGTGGGGGCGGTGACAATTACAATAATCACCACAATCCTGCAAAGACCGTGTCGAAAGGCGCCGGTCATGCAAAGAGCGGCTCGAGGCAGAGCACAAAGAGCGTGTCGAAAGGCGCCGGTCATGCAAAGAGCGCCTCGAGGGAGAGCACAAAGAGCGTGTCGAAAGGAGCCGGTCTTGCAAAGAGTGGATCGAGGCAGAGTGCAAAGAGCGTGTCGAAAGGCGCCAGTCATGCAAAGAGCGGCTCGAGGGAGAGCACAAAGAGCGCTTCAAAAGGAGCCGGTCTTTCAAAAGGCGCCAGTCATGCAAGGAGTGGCTCCAGAGATATCGCTACTAAACGCGCGGTCAAGAGCGTCGTCGAGATCCAGGAGCCTAGGACGCCGATCCAACGCGCACGCAAGACGGTCGTCGGCGCGATTGCGCCTGAGACTCCTCGACGCCAGACACCGGCCAGAAAGAGAACGCAGCCGGTGTGGGCCCGCGACTACGTCGATAATGGGACGATAGATCTTCGGAGGATCAAGCGGGATTTCGTGAGAGTCAGCGTACCGGAAACTTACAACAACCTGTTCCACGCCGTCCGTATAGCTACCGGTGAACAGAAGACGGTCCAAAAACTTCGCGACCAGTGTGCGTTGCTGGCTAGCCGAGAGAACACATTCGAGCCCATATACTTGCAGCATATGTCAGAAGATGATCTGAAGGAACACGTCGCATCGCTGAAGAAGAGAGAGAAGGGTGGGGAGTTGGAGTTACGGGTGTTGGCGTTCATCACTAAATTCACGTTGTTCGTCAAGGAGGGTCATGTGCTCAAAAAGTACATCCCGGAGATCTTCCCTGATATGGCCGGTCCCAGCCAGCAGAATTACCCTCAAGCGGTTCTGGAAGTCAAGAGATATTACGACGTGTTGCGACCAAAGACGAATGCTTGAGTCGGTTCCATGGCTGAGCACTCATTCGCGTCCACAAGCGTATCATGTTCGTCTTTCTGAGATGCCAGTACGACATGGAGCATCAGAATGCTATGGAGAATATCAGGTGGGGATGGTATTCGGCACGGAGGACGATTCACATCATCTGGGAGTACATCAATCATTTTAGAGCTTGAGCTCGTGTCCCTTCCACTAACTACCCTTCTGCTTGCTAAATCTCGAGACGCTTGAGTCTCTTAAGCCTGCTCAGCTGCGAGGAAAGACATTCTTTCCACGAGCTGTCAACATCGTTGTCGACATTGTTCGACAGATCTAGGCGGGTGAGCCGAGTAAGCGTGCTGATTGCTGGGGCTAAAACTGTCATGCCTGTCTCTCCTATCTCATTCTCACTCAGGTTCAAATCAAAAAGCCTCGTAAGAGTGCTCAACGATGGTACGAGAGCTGTGATACCCGCGCTCCCGATCCCGTTGACTGCCAGGCCCAAACAAGTGAGCCCCTTCAACGTACCAAGTACCGGTCCTATGATGGTCATGCCCGCCTCCAGTAGTTCGTTATCGTCTAGGTACAGAGTGGAGAGCCTGGTCAGTCTGGTCAAGGTTGGCACCAGAGCGGCTGCGCCCCTAATACCAATCTTATTACCGGTTAAGTCAAGGTGTGTTAGCTTAGCTAGCATGTTGAATGAAGGGGCCAGAGCTACCATGCCTGTCCCGTGTATTCTATTGTAACCCAGACACATAGTGGAGAGCCCGGTCATCCTGCTTAAGGCTGAGTGGAGAGCCGCTGCCCCAAAACTTCCGATTTTGTTGAACGACATGTCTAAAGTTTCGAGCCTCGTTAATCTCCTCATCTCCAGTGCAAGTGCGGCAGCTACCTCATAACCAATACCATTGCTGCCTAAGCCCAGCTCTCTAAGGTTCGTGAGTTTTCCCAGCTCTTGCGCCAGGGCCTTGGCGCTACTGTCACGGAGCGTGTTGCACCCCAATCGGAGACGATTGAGCCCCGTCAACTTCCCCAACTGCGGCCCTAGAGCGGCAGCGCCCGCACGTTCGATCTTGCCGTATGGAGAAACGACCCTTTCGATGGAGTGGAATGGAAGCTCCAAGGTTGTCAGACGAGTCATACTTCCCAACCCAGAGCTCAGGACTGCAACGCCCTCCTCGTCGACCCTCGCACCTCTCAGCCTCATAAAGGTGAGATCCTGGTAAGAGCATACGCATCTGAGGAGCTCATGCCCCAGATCTCCACCCACTGTCAGATCAAGCCTTTCCACGTATCCCTCTGCTCCAGATAGGTACTGGCGTAGAGCTCTTCCATCTACCTGCTGAAGCATGTTTGCAGACATTTTCGCGGCACTTATACCTGCACATTGCAATAACATGCTACTTTAGCCTTAAAGCAGGGCATGTGACTCTGAGCATGGTCTTGGCCCACATGCTCGGTTCCAGCATCTCACGCAACATGGATATATGACACATTCCAGTCACGCTCGGTTTGATTCTGACATTGATTCAAAGATGACCGTGACAATGTTGAAACTGGCGGACGGATGTCAACAACTTCTGAAAAGTTTCCATCCTACACACCGCTACATGCAGCTATTTCCTATCCCTGTCAAATCCGTTGTCTTGGCTAGATCTCCTATGGCTTCTCTTAGGTTGTTTGGCATCTCTCTCAACTGCTTGACTTCCGCTTTTGATGCCTGTAATGCGTAAGATAAAGCTCCTACTAATGGAGAAATATGAGAAATCATCATAGACATAACAATCCTTCCTTCCTTTTTTTTGTCTCTGCATGTGACATCAGAGTCTCGTGACGTTTGCATGAGAGCAGCAGGATCCTTGTTCGATTAGACTACATCCCCCCCGCAGCACCGGAAGCACCTTTTCCAGGAAGACCCAGACGTCCCGGAAGAGTTGTTGGCAGCGGGCTCCCCGTCATCCTTCTCTGGGCCAGGTTCGCCAGGGAACCCCCTCGGGGCAGCATGAACCGGCAATCGCTTTTCCACACACTTCTGGCAGATCCACACCGTGGCCGGGCTCCCCTGCACGGCGTTAGGCGCGGTAGGCGCGCTGCTTGCTGAGGGCCCGCTGTCGGGGACTGCGCACGCGTGCGCCTCGTACAGGGTGAGGAGTTTGGTCCAGCCCTTGTCTTTGTCGTTCTCCTGGAGGAACTGCAGCAGCTCAGCGGCCTCGAGGCCCTCCTTGCTGACGTGGTGCAGGTCGCGGGATGCGCCCTCAGCGGCCGTTGGGAGCGCAGTGTTGGGCTGAGGGGGCAACGGAGAGGAAGGCGGGTGAGTTCACAGTCGCCTGCTCAGAATCAATGGGAAACGAGACTTTGGGCGACAAGTCATGTCTTGGGTCGCCCTCGCCCATGTGAGCACCAAGGGTAGACGTCACTTTCGTCTGCAAGCAACACGTGAAGCTGGCGATTCCTAGCAGGATCCGAGCCAGCGAAGAGGAGCTGGACAGTCGTTTGAAGCGGTTCACGAGGAAGCGATGGGCATGAAATGCCATTAAGGTTCGCGTCTTGCCGAAGGATCCTGACGAGTCAACTGCAACAAACATTGCGTGAACTAAAGGCTGCATGCTTGACGTGGATCCCATGTTTCAAAAATCCACCCTGCAGATTCGGAAGGGATTTTCCAGCGGCGAAATATGTGCAAGGAGACAGCATCGTATGTACACTCCAAGATGCTTGGGGGAGGGCTCGGCTGCGGCCTGACCCCTAAGCCCTTCTTTCCTGCAGCAACGAGGCAGTTTCGAACTGCGTCACAGTCCGCATCCTCGCATCCAAAGAATCAATTCCAATACTCGGGGGTCCGGAGTCTGCGCACTTGAAAATCGAGACAAGACACCAAAGAAAGTGATCTGCAGGGCGCTCGAATACCATACCTGGCGAAATACGGGACGAAGCAGTACGTAAAAGTACGATAGATCGGGGTCCGATTTGAATTTAGGGTACCCAAAGGGTCACAGGACGCTAAGCTCGGTGGATCGTCAGAGATCTTGACAACGACGGAAGTGTACATTATTAACGGGGAAAGAAGGGTTGCAGCGGACTGGTCACCTGCTGCAACGGGGCTTTCAAGGCCTCTATAGCCTTGACCAGGCCGTCGGCCACCTTGTCCAGTCCTGCCATGGGCGCGCACAGGCTGCCCAGCTTGCCCAGGAGCAGCAGCACGCCCAGGCCAGCTGCCAACCTCTCGGCCCACTTGGACATCTGGATCTTGTACCCGCTTCCCTGCACGAGAGGCGCAGAGGCATGGTGAACGATTCTGGTACACGGAGACGGTTGTAATGAAGCAGAGCCGCATGTAAGAGATCGTTGTCAGGAGCGAAACGAAATCGTAGTTTCAAGCTGATGAAGAAAGCTAGATTGACAAAGCCGGGACCTCGTTGTACGAGTGCTTCACGGGCGCCCACGTCAAGGTTGAAAGCATCCGGCTGGGAAATGGAATTTGCAGTACGATCCAAATCCGTGTACTGTTGCGCGGCAATGGAGAAGCCGTGGGCGCCGGTCACCTGAAGGGCGAAGCATTCCTCGCAGCAGAGGTACAGCGTCGCATCATGGCGAAACAGCTTCTGGACGAAACCGTTGTACACAACGGAGAAGGCCAGGCGCGCCTGATCTTCTGCCGAGGAGGTGCCCTTCACGACCTTGACCGCGGCCTTCCCAACTTCTTCAGAGATATTCTCCATAATGGACCGTGCCGTGGCGCTGGTGTCGCCATGGCGTTGAATCACAAACACGCGGGGGGCTCTATTCCGTTCCACCTCGACAATAAGCCTCCCAAGGGCATGCTGCGCTTTTTCGATGAGCTCCGGAAAGACCTTCTGGGCCCTCTCGATCCGCTGCAGTCCCGCTTTCACCTCCAACTTGAAGATGGTATTCTTCAATTCACCAGAGGCCGATTTCAAATCAGCAACCGCCGGGGCAATCTTCAAATAGGGGACGAATTCAAGGTTCACTCCTGGCGCTCCGCACGAGGCCTCCAGGTCGCCGGCTGAGAACCCCCCACTCATCACCTGCTTGAGGACCTCGGGGGTCATGGGAAGGAAGTGGTTGGGGTAGTGGTTCGGGCAAGCAGCGGAATATTGCAGCCTCTGGTACCCGCGGAAGTCGACCATGTGCGCGTTATAGACAGAGGTGATGACGGGAGACAGACGCTCCCACAGTAGTCTGTTCGTGTCGTCTCCTACCCCCGTGGGTGCGTTCGCCTTTGCGAGGATGTCAAAGTCGACCCCGCCGTCGCGGCGCGTCCGGGACTCCACCAGCAGTGACCCGCCATCCGACAATAGCATCAGCGCCCCCCGCCGCCACCGCTGCTGGTGAGGGTACGCGGTGCACACCCCGGACCGCACCAACACGGTCTCGAAGAAGCCCGCCGGCAGGCGACCCGTGCTCATGAGCCGCCACCCTCGGAAGACAGTGCCCCCTGACTCAGAACTCCAGGACTCAACATCCGGCGGCCGCCCCTCTGTCCACAGCCCTGGGAGGAAGTACTCTCCCTGGATCGAGTACGCCAGCTCGAAGTGCTCCAGGATCTGGAGCAGGCGCGGGACATCGATTTCCCGGTTCCTCTCGCGCAGCTTGGGCAGCTCGGGGATGAGCTCCTTGTGCAGGAGGCCACGCTTGGTGAGGTCCTTGACCTTCTCCATCAAATGCGGCTTCCAGAGCGTCTTGTCATCCAGCGTGTGGCTGAAGATGCTCCCAAGCACCAGAGCCAACCACGATGGCTGCAGGAAAACGACCTCCTTCAGTTCCCGGACCTCTGAGAACCACAACACGTAGCCCAACGCGCTCCAATAGCTCAGGGCCTCTTCGAACTCCGTGACGCTCTGAAAACCTAGCTCGGCGGCTTCGACCCGCTCCCAGACCCGATCCTTACGAGCCTCCAACAGTGCTCCTGACTCCAGCACCGGTTCTTGCCCCTCGCCCTTCACGCCCTTATTGGCCTTGCCATCCAAGGACCGCTGGAACTCTGCAATCTTCTCGAACAGGCCGACCCACGACCGCGGGAGCACCCGCTCAAAACGGCTGCGGTTGCCCCTCACGAGCTTGACCAGCGCTTGTTGCAGGGCGGCAACGGCGTGATACTCGGTCGAGGAGACGCAAAAGTACTGGCTCAGCAGCTCCGGTGGCTGCTGCACATAGCCGAGGTCGTCATACTCCTCGCTCTCCACAACAAGGTCAGCGTCACGCTTCAGGGAGGTCAAGAGGGAATCATGCAGCGCCGCCAGGGTCTGATCTGCTTCTCCCACAGCTTTGTCGCGCTTTGTCCCCACCAGGATGAACGTCGCTCCCGGCGCAACAGCTTGGATCGAGTCCAGCCGATCCTGCATAGGAGTATAAAGCTGAAAGTCTTGGAAAGAAATAGTTTCATTGCTCCTTGATTTATGTTTCCTTCTAAGCAACCTGCCACATTCGGTCAGACAGAGAAGCCTAGGACTTTAGACTAGGATCTGCAATGTTGAGAAGCGGCCGTATCTAAGTTTTAGCCCTGTTCCCGCCCTGTCTAATCTGGCGCGCTGCTCGATAGCAGCTGTATATGACTCTGAGTTTCAAAAGTTTACGTGATGAATTAGGAGGCACCACAAAAAGGGCCCAAAAGACACAGGAAGGACAATTATCCGAGTATCTTCAAGCTGATTCACATGATCGAATTGTAGCTCAACCTTGAAATTGCTTCTAGTCATGCGCAGGGGTCAACCTCACTGTAAAGGAGACCGTTCACCACCTTTAGAGCGAAGTTGCTTAGGAAAACAAGAGCTAGGTTCGAAGGACTCGTATTCTAGGACGGGCTGAGAGATGCGGAAAGGGACGTTGACATCACGAACGTATCAGACGCATGCACAGTGCGTCTGTTTTTTCGACTAGTCATGACTTCACCTTCAAAATGCCAACGTCAATTTCCGCACTAAGGTCCACCACCAGGATGTAGAGGCACTGGTCCACGGTGAAGAAGAGGCGCTGCATCATCCCGTACTGCTCCTGGCCAGCGCAGTCAAATACCCGGAAGGTCAGCGGGACATCGCCTCCGCCCACGTCCACTGGCCACTCCAGAAACCCAACGTCAATGCCGACGGTGGTTTCAGTGCTGCCTTCCGCCACACGTTCTCCGCTCCGCAGGGCCGCAAACAAGCTCGACTTGCCCACCCCGCCAGGTCCGATAAACATGAGCTTAGCAATGGCCCTCTTGCCAGATCCCTTTGCTAGTTGCCGCAAAAAACTGAGAACTTCGGCAGTCCCCTTTTCCACTATTTCTGATGGGGGGACCTCCAGTCGGTTGCCCATCAGTCCCAATGTTCGCAAAGCAGGAAATGACACAAGCTCTCCAGGAACGTTCACAATCTCGTTGTAGTCCAGTT